ACGCTACATATGCTGAGAGATGGATAGAAAACAGTGGACCAGTACGTTGGCCAGTCCATTCTCTTGATATGGATTCACTAGAATTTTCACGGGATTTTTTAAGAAATCATAAACCAAGTGCCTCCAGTAGATTTACTAGAATTTTTTTTTCAAGAAATCATATACCAAGTGCCATATACCAAGGAGGATCTCAAGCATCGAATCTGTTATGCATACAATACCATCACCAGCTATGATTACATTTGTCTGCACTAGGGAACTCATGAGACGATATTAATCTTATCAACTTCAGGTTGAACAAGTTTTGTTCTTGAAGGACAGTTATGGTTCAGCACGACTAACGGGAAATATGGCGGATCAAAATAGATCTGTATGGTGTTGAATCATAAACTGGTCGTGTTTGGGCTCTAGGGTTTGTGACATTTTTTGTATTACATGTAGGTCAATACAACTTTAGATACTTGGTTGGTAATAACTGATCAGAGAATTTCGATTTTAAAAAAACCGTCTATATTTACACTGACAGGAAGATTCAAGGAAAGTTTACAATTGTGAGGGGTGGCATATAGACAAAATGAGGGTAGTTTCTTGAAAACTGCAATGGTAACGATTCCAAACATGGTCATTCTGATGTCTTTTTCGTGGGATACCCCCTATATTGAAAATAGTATTATAGTTATCACAGCGTTAGAAATGATTGAAGTAGTGATTCATCGGAATCCAATAGAATTTATATTGTTTATAGAAACGAGATCTAATAGAAACCAAAGTCCTCTAACAGGATATGTTCATGCTGGAACTTTACATGATTTTCTAAATTTCAGGTAAAGGAACTGAATACTGGACTGCAGGCACTAGGCTAGTGGATGGATTTAACTTTCTATGGCTACCCTACGCAGAAACCATCGACTATACGAGATGGTCAAATGGGCAACCGTCTGATGTGAATGAGAAATGTTTACAATTGTGGGTGATAGGAGATCGCCTAGAATGGAATGATAGGCCGTGTGACGCCCGTTTCCATTTCATTTGCGAAAGATATGATAATGAAACAAGTTCCACCTTTTCTCTATGAAACAAGTGATGAAATTGAATAATCTTAATAAAAGTAGTCAATAATTATCTTTGATTTTATGTTGAATATGTTTTTTTCATCAGATATATTCAGTGGGGTGTATAACAATGAACAGTAAATATCTCACTCACTATTCGAAGATGCCTTCCTTCACGTTTGTAACATCTGGAGACTCTTTATGATTATTAAAATTGAAATCATAACAACTGAACTGACATAATACTCGTATAACAACGTTGAATCAAAGTAACTACCATGAGATACACAGGAAGTGTCTAAAAACTCTATATGCATCTTTGTTGTTAATTACTTTTCTCATTGTCGACAACTTCTCAGGATCGAATGGTTTTGTCAAAAAATCAGACAACATTAAACCAGCTGGACAAAAAAAGTTCATAAAAATAATGTACCAAAAAAATTCAACCTTACCTTCAGACGTACTATTCAAAGAGGCACTATAGTCTGGTTCACATGTATTCGATTTAGCTCTTTTTGGTGACATTTTTCAGCCCTGTCCAAAAATTACGACCATTCGATTCGTATTTTTGCTTAGAAAGTTTAAGGAAAGGTCCGAAAACGCGCCGATAAAAATTACAAAAGTTATATATTACTGTCAAGATGGCGGCAAGTGACAACGAGTCGCCGGAAACCTCTAATGAAAATGCCTTTGAAGAACAAATTGAAATGAAATGCTGCTCAAAAGATGTTGCAGTTTTTGTGTGTATATACTGCAAAAGTGTTTTTCATAAAAGTTGCGCGAAAAGATTAGTGAATCTAAAAATTATCAGTGATACTGAAGTGAAGTGCTGTGAACGTGAAGTCAGCTCCTCCAAAGCAATCGAGGAATTAGAAAAACAAAAGATAATTATCGAAAACCAATATCTCAAACAACTACTACATGAAGTACAAGAAAAAATAATATCCTGATGGTAAATAATAGTTTATTGTTAGACAACTTAAAGTATCTTGAAGAGGAATTGGCTGGGACAAAAAAGAAACCCAACATTACCAACAAAAAACTGTAAAAACTGTAAACATGAACAAAAACATAAGTTCGCTTTCCCAAATGTTGAAAAGCGAAGATACAATAGAAGATACAATGGAACTTGTACGTGACAAACAAATTGTAAATAATGGGAATATTAACAAACAACCTGCATCCCACCCAAGCGGATGGAAAAATAAAAAATATGAAGAGAAAAGTGCTAAAACAATCATCGAAAATGAAGAAAACGACGGCTTCCAATACCAAAAACTAAGGAAAGGAAAGAGAAGATTAGGAACGGCTGAAGTTTCAGGAGAGTAATTGGAAAATGGATTTGCGGGAGCAGATCGCAAGGTTTGGCTATATATCTACAGGGTCAAGACGCATGTTACAGCAGATATGATAAAGAGCTTCATCAAGGAAAAGGATACATTTGAAAACGAGAATGTTGGAGTTCAAGAATTACCCTCAGACCCTGGCAGGCTCAAAATGTTTGTTGTCACAGCACCACCAGATCACAAAGACGAAATGTACAATCCCAATTTTTGGCCTAGGAATAAAAAGATTTGATTTTCAAAAACATGGGGACTTCCTGAAGTCCACAAAAATGTTTTTCTAACTTCTTCAAGTGTCAGTCCGAACGATTTAAAAATTGAAAAGGCCTCAACAAAATTACTGCACCTGAACTTACAGAGTCTAAAAAACAAAGTTATACAACACAAGTACTCTTAGATGAAATCAACCCAAAGATATTCTGTGTCACTGAACATTGGTGTCTGCCTGAAAAAATACAAAATATAAGCTTAGACCCTCTAAAACTAGTATCCTTCTCTGCCCGGACAGAATCGTGAGGCGGAGGCACAGCGATATACGCATCAGCTGATTTATAAATAAGCTTGTTGAAAGTACCTATACTCCCAATAGAAAAACATTTTGAGTTCTCTTGTTGCAAAGTGATATTGAATAATTTCAAATGTCATCTAGTCTGTATATATAGATCTCCATTAGGAGATATTAACTGTTTTTTAGATAGTTTGACTCAACTGTTAGAATATGTAGTAAGACACTCCCGATACACCATAATGTGTGGAGATTTTAACGTAAACTTTCAAAAACAAGAGAATGATTCATTATCAGTTGTGCAGCTTTTCTCCCAGTACAATATGATCCCCAGAGTAAACTCAGTAACTAGAATAAATAAAGAGACATCATCACTTATTGATAATATCTTCACAAATATACCAGTTGAAGAATCCGATTGTTCAGTTTATAAATCTACTCTATCTGATCACTTCAGTCAAATATTCAAAATAAAACACCACATTGAAATAAACAATAAACCAACCTATTGTAAAAAACGTTTCTTTCATGATGCAAATGTATCGAGACTCATCGCAGCACTGTCCACTGAAACATGAGAAGATGTTTACAAAGCAAACAAAACAAATATCAAATACAACAATTTCTACCAAATATTCTTTCATCATTTTGATCTTGCTTTTCCCTTAACCACTTGTAAGGCTGTCACAAAGAAGGGGTCAATGGGTCAACTCTGAAATAAAACAATTGTCAGCATATGTCCGTGATCTCTACAATCTCTATATTGAAACTCGATGTCAAAAGGTATATGTCAAATAAAAACAAGAGAAAGGAGCCTATGGAAAATATCTTTCACAATACAAAAAATCCATAAATGATAGTCACATGTCAAATTCAAAAAATAAATCAAAAACAATGTGGAATATTTTTAAAAACATAAAAGATGCTAAAATGCCAAATAAAAGCCCAGTCAAAATCAAAACAGTAAAAAATAAAATCATATCTGATTCCCAAGACGTAGCTACAAAGTTTAACAATCATTTCACACTCACAACATGCAATGAGACCTCAAGAGGGACAAAGGTAATTCACTGTAACGAAACTATCTTTTTAGAACCAGCTACAAATATCGAGGTATTTAATATTCTAAATGAAATTTAACCAAAATATGCTAGTGGATTTGATTCCATTCCTCCTTTCATCCTGAAAAAGGTAAATGGCTTCATATGTGAACCGTTAGTCGATATTATAAATGATGGTTTAGTGTCTGGCATATACCCTGATGCACTGAAAATAGCACGGGTGATACCCATTCACAAAAAAGGGCTAACAACCGATTTAAACAACTATAGACCCATATCTATACTACCATCACCATCGAAGGTTTTTGAAAGAGTAATTTACAAGCGACTCGTTACTTTTTTAAATCAGAATAAGATACTTGCTCCACAACAGTATGGTTTCAGACAAGGACNGTGTTTCGATCACCAATTGATCATCTTCAAAGAGGAAGACTAAAACTCAGTTTCGATTACCAAGTGATCATCTTCAAAGAGGAAGATTAAAACTCAGTTTTAATCTTTCTCTTTGAAGATGATCACTTGGTGATCGAAACACGTGTCGAGGTGTTGAAAATAATGATTTGGTGTTGGGAAAAAACTCCGGTAATATTCGTTACAACACCAAAGGTTCCAAACAGTGCATCATAAGTACCAAACATTGCTATTTCGACCTTTTATAGAGTTCATCATACTTAGTTGGATTCAACTGTCCTTGAACGACATGCTTGAGTACTAGTATGTATGGATGACGCCCCCTTTCAATGACTCTGTGGAGCGTCATCTTATGGGGGTTTCAGACTGCAAATAGTGGGACAGGAACTTTTGATAAATAACCTCCCACTTGAGGTGTTGACTACTGACGGCAAAAGGCTAAAACTCATTTTCTACTTTATTGTTTCAAAAATCATACATTTTTGCTCAAAAATTCAAGCTTGCGATCTATCACGTATGACAAAATAATTTTACAGACTTCTGGATCAATTTGTTGTACGGCATTCAGCTTTCTGAAGTATCGCCTTATAGTTTTGGAAAACAATATCTTTATAAACTCATGTTACAGGCGACGGATGGGAAAAGATTTATGCGAACAAACATTCATCGATTATACCTCTCCATCGCTATGGAGGAAAAAGCTATTACATGGGTACTCAATTCCACGTAAGTGACAGAATGATTATATTCATCCTTGGTGAAAAACTGTTGAAACTTACGGATTTTGTTTTCAGGCAACATACTTCGAAGCACTTATGTTTTGTGAACAAATAAAGATGAAGCTTTTAACAATACGTTCTGCCGACGAGAACGAGAGGATTCACAAATATATCAGAGAAGCCAGTAAGTAGCATATATTGTTGATAAAAAGCAGACGTAGATCAACTGGGGTGGATTAAATGCAATATAACTTCAGTTCCCAAACAGTGGAACTCCAACACTCTTTTTATTCATTCTATTTTTTATAAAACTTTTAATATTGTGATACCTTGATACTTGTCTTTTTCATTCGCTCCTTCGCTTCTATAATTATAATAACTTACGTCAAGATATCGAAGTAGCTGGAGAGCGAATTATGCTGGCCTTGAACGGTCAATTCGATACTAATTCAACATCAGGCCAGCGTCGTGTTTCTCGATTTTTAAGTATGATTGCGAAATCAAAGACTGCGATCAACTCAGCAACTTTACCTCCAACAACAATAGCAACACATTTTGGTTTTGGATTTCTACTTCTACATTTTTATACAAAAAATTGAAATCTTTGAAAGAAAGAAAGAAAGCAATCAATTTCAAAATGAACTCTCTACAAAGATACGTAGGTAGTTCATGGTGGGAAGTAACTTTGAGACACAAATTGGAATAAAAAGCCCTCTGGAAACAACTACTTTCAAATTGACATTGAACTGCACGAAAGAAAATATGCTTTCAAAATAACTACTCTTTCTTATATGAACATTTAATTATACAAAAATACTTTTTCTATTCACTATGCACCCCAAACATTGGTTATGGAATTGAATCAGATATCATTCCGAGGATTACTGCACAATATGATAAATGAAAGAGGTCGAATTTCATTTACATATTGTGCAGAAATGAAGAAATGGGTAACGCTAACATATTCTGGAAAAAGAACAGAAATAATCGCAGGTTTCTTCAGAAAAAACAATGTGGAAGTAGCATTCAGACCACATGCCAGGTTATCTCATTTCCTTTTCAATGCCAAAGATAAGGTTGACAAGTTGGAAAAATCTGGAGTTTATAAGCTTAAGTGTCCGGAGTATAATAGTGTTTATGTGGGACAATGCGGCCAAAATTTCCAAAAACGGTAAGCTGAAAATGAAAGGTCCTTCAGACTAGGAAAAAATTATTCGACGTTTTCAAACCATTCATTGGCATGCAACCACAAGTTTCCGAATCTAAAAGATACGGAAATTCTGCACTATGCAAGGAAGGGTTGCAAACTCAATTATTTAGAATCCTTGGAAATTCACAAGCATAAACATTGCAGGTGCAACCTGTTAAATGATCAAATCGATTTAATTTACTCTCCGGTTTTTAAATTGGCACATCCGCATTGTGAACTGTAAATTCAGGTACTCAATCAAGTCAAGTACCTCTATTTCTATTAGTACCTGCAGGGATGGTATATATTGGCGAATGTAATGAATCATTGTTAGTTTATTATATACGTTTGAGAATGTCCATATAGGAAGAAACTGCAGTAACGTTAGTTACAAATAAAAGTGGTAAAAACATGGAAATTTTCCTTTCTCTTTTCATCATGATCTCCTGCCACGTAGTAACGGCTACATCCATCAATTTATTCATCCTCCATCCTAGTACTACTGGTAAAATCTCAATGGAAGAATGGAATAGGGAAGAACCGTATGTGTTGTTGGATTTCGAATGGTTTCTGGGATGTAGTTTCATCTAGTATTGAATAAAGAAATGATATATTTCAATGACTTATTACTCAACTTCCCTACCTTTCAAAATCGTTGGGGGTCGCCACTTCCGCCCAGAGGGTTGAATATTTTTCAATAGTCTTTGAGTGCAAACTGGTTCTTATGAATAAACTTAACATGTTTTTGAATTCTTAAGATATACTTTGGAGGCAGATATTTATATTTTGTGCAAAAAAAACCTTGAATACCCATTCTACAGTAAAAATCACAGTTAGAATCACTCAGAATTCTGTCAATGATCGTATGTGGTATAAAGAATTGAGAAATTTTATCTTGTCAATAGTTAAAATTAAAGGAATACCTTATACCAAGTCTGTCTGTTTTAAAAAATACCACGCAAAACCTGAAATGCTCTCTCTCTAACCTCAATATTCGTCCAAAAAAAAACTAAATTCATTACCCAATCACCTCTGGAATCCCGATGAAATAAACAACTATTTTGCTCAATTCATACAAAATGTTCCTAATAATTTCAATGAAAAAATTGAATTTTATAGCAGTTATTTATTCTATCAACTACCAAAGAAGATGTGGATGAAATTTCGAATGGTATTAAAAGCCAAGCTTCAGGGGTGGATAATATTTCATTAAGAATGTTGGAAACCGTTTATAGATAAATATATTACACATATCATCAAATTGAAAGGGTATATATTCAGAGAAGAATAATTTTTGGGAAAGAAGGTAAGTGAACTTTCACTTCTTTCATCAATTATATTGTGTAGGAATCCTGTGAATGATATCTGGTTCGATTCTATGACGAATGTTTGGAATACAAACTGAGTAGAGAAAAGTGTTTTTTTATAATTCAGTGTTCAAATCAAAGTAATCGTTTCAAAAGTATTTTCCTTTTGTGTATTTCAATATTTATATGAAAAAAAGCTGTTTCGAGAGGGCTTTTTCTTCCAGTTTGTGACTGAGAGTTACTTCTTTGCATGATCTCCACATCTTTTATAAAATATTTTTTTTAAATTGATTGCTTCCTTCCTTTCTTGCTTTCTTGGGAAGATTCCCTTAGAAAGCCAACTCTTTCTTTCTTTCCCAAACAAAACATATCATCAACTGTTGTTTTGGAAGTTCATATTTTCCAGACTTGTGGAAAATTTACCTTGGGAAACCTATTCCCAAAAAAAATCATTCAGCTACTTATTCTGATCTCAAAATTATCAATATACTCCCAACCATGAGTAAAAGGGTTATTCATTCACAAATCAATAAATAATTCAGTAGCAATAATCTGTTATAACCATCGCAATGTGGTTTTAAGTAGGGCTAAAGTACAGATACAGCTCTTGTTAGTGTTATATGAGATATTGAATAATACTGGAGTTTTTTCCCAACACCAAACCGTTATTTTAACACCTCGACACGTGTTCCGATATCCATGTCAACAGCTTCAAGAGTAATATCAAAGTTCGATCTTCCTTTTGATCACTTGGTGATCGAGACACATGTCGAGGTGTTAAAATAACGATATGGTATTGGGAAAAACTCCAGTAATATTCATTACTACACCAAAGGTTCCCAACAGTGCATCACAAGTACATAAGATATTGTTGATTGACTTGATAAGGTAATGATCAGTACTCTGGTTTCACCAAATTTTTCGAAAAGATTCAATACCATTCAATCATGAGCTGATTTACATGACACTCGTAAATTTTGGTTTTGATAGTGGTGTCTCTCATCTGGTCTTATTAACTATTCCATATCTCTTGATATTTTATCTGGACCTTTATTGTTAATTTCTTATACTATTGACATTATCTCATTCATGAAAAACTGTAAAATACATCATTTTGGTTTTTTTGTTCACAAATTGATTACTCTTACAAAAACTAATTCTGCGTGAAGGTATCCCTTCAATAAATATCAGATATGAAAACAAATTGACTATGCTACGACATTGCACCAAACAATTTCAGAGATACATTTTTTTTCGGTGCTGTGAAAGTCTACAATTCATTGCCTAAGCAATTGAAGGTATTCACTATCAGGAAATTCAGATACAAACAAAAAAATTATATCCATTTCAGTCAGTAAGCTCAATTTTTGCTCATTGGACAAATCAATAATAAATGAAGCAACAGATCAATTCAATTATCAACTCTTCAGCGAATAATCACTAATTGATATTTTCATTCGTTTTTCTCTTGTCATCACCATCAACATCAATTGTTCTGTTTTTTTCTATATGTTTGCGTTTATTATGGGGTGATGATCGTTGGTTGAGTTTGAGTAGCTCTGAGCTAGACTTCGCCAATAAGTAAGCGAATCTCCTGTTACTTTTATTTCTCGTTTCTCTTTCTATTTTTTCTGTATTTTCAGTAAAAGATTCATTATTATTCTCATTATCATTATTGTGATAAAAGTTATGTTGGTGAAACTTCGAGACCATTATAAGTGCGTGAAAATGAACATTGACATTACATCAGAATTAGACAATTAACAGAATGAAAATGTCAGAACACATTTTGAAATCAGACCTTGAACATCGAGTTGAATGGAACAAAACGAGAATGAATGCAATCACTTGGTGGTCGAAACACGTGTCGAGGTGTAAAAATAACGATTTGGTGTTAGAAAAAAACTCCAGTAATATTAATTACCACTGGTTGATTTTATTTATACGACCGGTTTCGGGTTAAACCCCATTATCAAATGTAAAACTGTTTTACCGATCGTAAAAATGAAATCAACTAGTGGTAATTAGACATTTATTTAAAGTGATCATGAATCACCACAAAATAAACAAGTCATCAATCACACAAACTATCTGAGGCTGAAATTCATTGAATTCAGCTGCCCATTTATAATAATCTCTTTTATATTTTCCTTCGGAGTAGGAGACGATAAATTACGATAATCTGCGGGCATATTATTACAGAGCCCGAAAGCACGGTCTAGTAGAGTCTTGATGATTCCTCTCTTAGTTTTCGATATACATATGTTTTCCATTAAGTATCGGTCATCTTCACCAATACGTCTAAGAATGGCAATTCGTTGAGGACTTCCTTCTCCATTGTGAAATTGATGAAAGGACGTACGTTGTTGATGTGCTTTAGGGAGGTGTCTAGTTCTGCATTCCCACGGTTCCATATTACGTGGTCGACATCTTCATAATAATGAAAAGAATTTGAGGTACTTAATTAAAGAAGAATTAATGCTGGTTTGCTTGAACCACTTCATAAATTAGCCATTATTTCTTGTAAAAAGTAAAGGCTAAGAAATGGTTATTGTGGGTTATCCCTAAGAGATATACATATATCACCGCAGACTTTTTGGTAAAGCTTTTTAAGAGGTCTTAAGTTGAAATCATCCACAAGGAGGAAGACTGGTTCAGGTGAAAATTCAAAGAAGCCGCATATATGTT